ACCTAACCTTACTAAGGACTATCCCAGCAGATGCTGATGGTTTACTGTAAATATCCCACATAGAGACAGCCCAAATGAAGCATCCAGGCTGGCAATTTGTAAATGCAACAGATGGGAGGAACAGACCATTCATCATCATTCAGCTCTACTTCCATTTATTCTACGGGACTCTCGTTGGGTGCTATAAATTATGTAAAAACAATACTATACAAATGAAAACTAATAAATATCCAATTTCCCCAAATATGACACTGATAGAATATTATCAATCTGTTTTCAAAGTTCCAGTTTTTGGAAGGAGAACACTTTGCCACCATGAAATGGGGGCCAGTCTGGACAGCAGTTCTTTGTCTGCCCCTCATCCTTGTGTATGTAAGAATCTACATTTTACGTCAGGAAGGAAATAGTTGGGGAAGGTTATAGATTCTTGTCAAACAAAACAGATGCTTTAACACATAAATTTTCACTGTTCCTGAAAGGCTCATAATTAAAAAACGAATCCAAGAGGATTTACTGTAAATTACATACAGGGAGAAAGAAATTAATAGGATGTCTTTTTTACACTCAGCATTAACTACATAAAGGGAAGCTAATTATTGCCCAGTTCTCCCCGACCTTCTATTTTGTAGATGGTGAAAGGAGGTTGTCAAGAGTTTCATGATAGTAATAACAAGCACTTCATGCTAACCTCTTCTCTAGTCCTATTCAGTTTTTTCCCCGTTGTATAAATGAAGGTGAGTGTAACATGACACCCATCCATAAAGCTTAGATGTAGAGTCAATAGGCAGATGTCACTCGTAAGTGACAGCAGCTTTTCTCCAAAATTGAGCTTTAATTCCTCAACAATTCATTTCAATGGAGGGAAACTAATATTTGAAATGGATTTTAAACAATTCCTCTACCCTAAGACACCTGCCCTTTATAGAATCTCATTTCATGCACATATACTTCAACAAAGATCTCTTTGCCTTTTTCAAACATGCCTAATTCACAATTTTATTAATATAACAGTCTATAAGTCATTCAGAAAACATTGCATCATGGAATGTGAATCAAAAACAAAGAAGTATTAGCTAATTTGAAGCAAGCAATTTCTAAATAATTTTTATCTCCTGGCCCTCTCTGATTTTTTTAAATGACCAAATGCCTGTGTTGGTCAACACTTTTTCTCAAAACCTATTCAACTTTCATGAGGCCTAGTTAAGTGGGAAGACTTTAGGTTTAAAAGAAAGTAGCAAGAGAAGTAAAAGCCTCTGCTCCCTTGGCCAGAATGAAAGACAATCTAAGCAAATCGTGAAAAAGAAAAAATGTGCTCTTCAGCCATAAAAAAGAATGAGATCATGTTCTTTGCAGGGGCATGGATGGAGCTGGAGGCCATAATCTTTAGCAAAGTAACACAGGAACAGAAAACCAAATACTGCATCTTCTCTCTTATAAGTGGAAGCTAAATGATGAGAACACGTGGACACATAGAGGAGAACAACACACACTGGGGCCTTTGGGAGGGTGGAGGGTGGGAAGAGGGAGAGGATCAGGAAAAATAACTACTAGGTACTAAGCTTAATACCTGGCTGATGAAATAATCTGTACAACAAACCCCCATGACATGAGTTTACCTATGTAACAAACCTGCAAACCTGCACTTGTCCCCCTGAATTTAAAATACATATATTATAAAAAAAAATGCTCATAGCACTCAACCATCTTGGTGACCCTTTCTTCCTTTGCCCCAATTCAATCTAGGACACAAATGCCTTCATTTTGCCCAAGTTTTCCCATTCATTTCTACCATCCCACACAATATTGCACATCCCCAAACTAGCCATGGCCACTTTTCCTCCTTTCTGTCCAACTCTTCTATCAAAACAAATTCTGTCACAGGAGCTGACTTTAGCCTGGTATAAGAAGTATGACAATAAGATTGACTACTTTAAATGAATTAATAAATCATTCCAGGACTTGCAGTGCAACATGAGCTTAAGATACCACTTTTCCAAAGAAATTTTAATACGTAGGGATTTCAGGATAACAAAAGAGAAGAAATGGGAAAATTGGAGCATGTGTAGAGGGATAGTGTGGAGCTTAGAGCAGATGTGATGAATGTGCAGTGCACGTTCACAGAACCTCACTTCTGCACATGTGGCAGACATGACTAATGGAAGCTAGATCTCCTACCTGTGGATTTGCCCACTGTTCTCACGAACCTTCCTGGTGTAAAGCTTGAAGAGAGAGAGTGAGGCACTGAGAACTTGCAGGCAAGATGAAGCCTATTTGCCACTCGTGCCCTGGGACTATTCTAGAGTGGATGCTTACCCCAGGGTCAGGCTCTCTAGTGTTCTTGGAAGAGCATTTTCTCTTCCTTCAAATAAGTCCACTTGGGGGTAAAAAGGAAATATTCCAATGACAATGTTGATGTTGCTCAAAACACTTCAGGAATTTCTAGGAATTGTCTTCTTTGAAAGTTAAAAAAAATACAAGCCTTCTTTGTCTTCTCCTTCTCCCCAACACAGACACACACACACACACACACACACACACACACACAGTCTCTCTCTCACATACACACACACACACACATTCTGTCTCTCTCACACACACACACACATTCCACTGCCTAATTTTAGAGTTTGCACTTTGTTTTTGATCAACTTTACTAGCTTGACCACCACTCAGAAGGAGCATCAAAGTACTTTAGGTTTTTGTTGTTGTTATTTTATAATGAACACTCATACCCAAAGAACGAAGTTTTGCCCCCACGTAATCCCTTGTTGAAGCACATCAGTAGGCAGAGCCCTGTCCTCTTCCCTTATCCCTGGAATTTTTTCTGCTGCTATGTTCTGAATATGCCTCCCACAATTCCATGTGCTGGAAACTTGATCACCAATGCAGCAGTGTTGGGAGTTATGGCCTTTGGGAGATATTTAGGTGGTGAGGGCTCTGCCCTCGTGAATAGGTTAATGCTATACTAAAAAGGGCTTGCAAGAGTGGGTTCACCCTTTCTTCTCTTCTGTCATGTGAAAACATGGGGTTCCTCCCCTTCTGCGGATGCAGTGCTCACCTTAGAGGTGGAGACTGGGCCCTCACAAGACACCAAACCTGCCAGCACCTTGATCTTAGACTTCCCAGCCTCCAGAACTGTGAGAAATTAATTTACATTCCTTATAAAATACCAAATCTCAAGTATTCTGTTATAGCAGTAAACAAAACAAAACAAAACAAAAACAAAGTAAGCCACCTGCTTTCATCTCCCCCTTGTGTCCTCTATCACTTTTTCTTTTTTCCCAGGAGGCTTCTCTTCTAGGCAAACTGTAAGGTGAAATAGTATCTTCTGCCTTATTTATGCTAAATCCCTTCCACTTTCATTAGTGGCCCCAAAGCTCTTTCTCTCTTGAGTAATTTTCTTTAGTACAAGAAAACAAACCATTCAACAAACAGAACCACCTTTTACAGATTGTAAAAGTTATAAAAGTATCTTAATAAGTATTTACGGCTTCGTTTCCCTGATGCATCTACTTAAATGTCCAAAACAAAAAGCTGGTTTCATAATTAAGCCATTTAGTCTTCTACTTGGATTTCTTTACTTTCACGTATGATAAGAAACCTGCCTTCTTCAGAGCAGGCAAAGAGATAATCTGCAAGGACATAAAATATGGTTTCAAATGGCTAGATTCATGAAGGGGCCCTGTGCTCGAGAGGGCCATGAACATGTCAGGATCACTCTAGAATCACACAGATTCTCCACAGCATAGGATACTTTTAAATTTTTTTCTGGAAAGGTCAGGTGACATCATTTCCTAATCTAAGATTTGAAGGAAAATCTATTGGACTTTCACAGAATGTTGAAGCAATCAGCTGTATCACCCAAGTGTCTATGGTAACCCAGGGGCTCTTTACATTTTGATATAAAATGTCTGATAATTTTGCTCATATAAAGAAAAAAATAATATACCATGTCAAATCTAATGGGTATGCTTATACAGAATACACACACTAATAAATACACACAAACGGATGTTACATGAATCTCAAAGTATGTTTAGTGCATTTACTTTTCAAAGACCCTAAAGAAATGACAGAACTTTATCATGGCATATTATAATATACTGGAATGTTCTGGTTCCTCCTAGCAGTTACCGTAATCTGCATGACAATTTTATTAAAACACTGCTGATTTCAAGTAGACCATCAGAAAACAGGAAAATCTCTCTCTTAAAAGTGGAGATGTTCTACAAAACATGAATGAGCAGGAATGGATAAAACAGTAGTACATCATTTGACTCAAAAAGATGCTCATGTCTGTGCCAAATCATATTTTTCTTAGGAAGTCACAATGAACAAAAAAAGAAGATAAATCATTGTGGGAATGCCAGTGAGCTGGTAATAATAGCCTAGTTATAGCCGCCATGAAATAGTCATTAAGTTATATGTAGCATAAATCTCACAGAGTTTTGTAAATTATGGTGGTTCTTAGAGGCCAAATAAAGATAAAGTGTAGTATCACTGCCTTTCTTTTTGTTCCTTGGCATGGCTTTTTAAAATGTGTTATCTCAGGCTCATAGCACCATATGGTTCCTGAAGCATCTGAGAAAGAATTGAAAAGTTCACAACTGTATTCAAGACGACTCCACCACATTTTGAAGGTGATCATGTCTAACCACTTCTTCCCTAAGCTCCTAAGCAGAATCTGGACCTGATCGGGCTTATACTGGGGCCAGATCGACTTCCAGCTCAAGCCTAGGACTTCAAGCTGCTCTCATTTCCAAGGCACGCTGGAAGAGCAAGTGCCAGACATGTGTACTGCTGTGGGAGCTGGGCTTGCCATGCATGATTCCCGCCAGCCATCTCCAGCTCCAGAGACTAGCAATGAAACTGTATCCTCTGCTTCTCTCTATACACCTGCACATTAGCAAAACTCTGATTCAGAGATTCCTAACCAATGTTCCTTTTCCTCCTTTTTGGAGGTTGATAGTAATCCCCAGTTGATCTTTTTCCTTAACTGCTTTTACCCCTGCTATTTAAACTAAATTCTTATTGCTCCAAATTAAATCCATTCTTTCTAGCCTTGTCATTGCTAACTAATGAGAACAATTCCTCTCTTTGCTCTTGGTGACTGCACTTTGGGTACTTATGGATGAGAATCATATCTCTCTTTAGCCTACTTTCTTAACTGCAGACTGCACAGGTGATAAAATGGGTTAATTGTTGCTATAAAAATATTTTCCATCCTTATAACAAAAGAATTTTTTCTCCCAAATCATTTTTAATTTCTTAGCCTTTGCTGTGTTCTTACAATCTACAGGGATTGAGGGTGCAGTGCTATTAAGCGCATATGTACAAGACCAAAAGCAAAATGTTGACTATGCAATCAATACACACGAATTACTCAACTCTTGATCACTGTCCTGTTTCCCTTTTGCCCCGCCTACTCTGGCACTCTGGTCTCAGTTTTTATCACACATTTATGACATCTCTACCGTGATGTTTGAAGCCTAGACAGGGGTCACGAAATTACGGCCTGCAGCTTGTTTTTATAGATACATTTTTATTGGAATACAGTCGTATGCATTTAAAAAAAATGTATTGTCTGTGGCTGCTTTCACATTACAAGGGCAGAACCAAGTAGCTCTGAGAGAGACTATCTGACCTGCAAAGTCCAAAATATTTACTTTATGTCTGTTTACAGAAGGTTTGCCAAATCCCAGCCTAGGAGATTGTTAAGTTCCACTTGGCTTTGCTGCTTGCACCAGGTAAGATCCATACCAGGTAAATCTCTTAAATATACCCTAGAAGTCTGATAAATGTTCGGCCACAGGCCAAGTCACACAGTTGGGAAGGGAGCCTGCAAAGAATGAATTTCTTTTTCCTCTATACACAGGGGAAAGAAGAAAGAGTTTTTAAATTTTTTCCCCCAGGAACCCTATAAGCATGATGGTTCACACCTGAAAACAATTTTTATAAGCATGTGCACCTTTGCCACATTGATCTAGATTGTTCTGCAGCATTTCCCTGAATCACCAACTCAGACCACCAGTAAGACAAGAAAATCCAGGCCAAGGCCCACTACTCACTATGTGAAGCTGGAGGAAGTCACCAAGTCCCGGAGCACTGTCGATGCGGACCAAGATGCCATCCTTCACAGTGGTGCTGAAGCCCACGGCAAGGCGGTCAGAGCGCGTGCTGGGCCTGTCATTGGCTGGCCAGGTGTAGAGGATGAGCCCACCGCTTTTCCCAAAGATGTACGTAGCGCCAGCTGCAAAAGCGAGGAGAGAGGGAGACATCAAGGCACTGTATTGCATACAGCCAGTTGCAGCATACTGCTGAGACCTTACACAGAACAGCTGTAGAGAGGAAATGTCCCCCATGGGACAGTATTACTTAGAGGAATGGCAGCCAAGGGTTCTGAAGGCAGCTATCACCCCAAATTAAAGAGGCAGGCAGAATGAATGAATAACAAAGCAGATGTTGGCGAGAGTCGTTCTTTTTTTTTTTTTTTTGAGACGGAGTCTCGCTCTGTCGCCCAGGCTGGAGTGCAGTGGCCGGATCTCAGTTCACTACAAGCTCCGCCTCCCGGGTTCACGCCATTCTCCTGCCTCAGCCTCCTTAGTAGCTGGGACTACAGGCGCCGCCACCAGCCCGGCTATTTTTTTGTATTTTTTAGTAGAGACGGGGTTTCACCGTGTTAGCCAGGATGGTCTCGATCTCCTGACCTCGTGATCCGCCCGTCTCGGCCTCCCAAAGTGCTGGGATTACAGGCTTGAGTCACCGCGCCTGGCCGAGTCGTTCTTAACATCTTCAGTTCCTGCTGCCTAATGGTGGAGGGTAAATAACATCCTAAAGTTTGGGAGTCTGGGGATATTGCAATAAACAACTTTCTGGTCTTCTTCAACAGCAGGCTTAATTTTCCATCATGGCCAGGACAGGCACAAAATAGAAAACTAGTGCCCTATCTCTTAGCTATCAGCATAATCTGGTCAGTGGAGCCAGGAGCCTTACAAAACTGAAGGTAACAGAGCAGTCCAAAGGCATCATGTCTCTCCTGCTTGTACCTTCTCCCACTCCCACAGGAAAGAAAGCAGTGGCCCAAGAAAACCAAGTTATGTGACTAAATGCATTTGCCTATTTCACTATTATGTTGCTATAAACACAGTAACAAAAATGATTTCCTGGAGTCTTTTTTTTTAAGACGGAGTCTCGCTCTTTTGCCCAGGCTGGAGTGCAGTGGCGCAACCTCGGCTCACTGCACCCTCTGCCTCCTGGGTTCAAGCAATTCTCCTGCCTTAGCTTTCCGAGTAGCTGGGACTACAGGCACGTGCCACCATGCCTGGCTAATTTTTTGTATTTTTAGTAGAGAAGGAGTTTCACCATGTTAGCCAGAATGGTCTCAATCTCCTGACCTTGTGATCCGACTGCCTTGACCTTCCAAAGCACTGAGATTACAGGCGTGAGCCACCACGCCTGGCCTCCAGGAGTCTTTTAAAAATGAACCTTCTTTTTGTTCCCTAGTGGTGGGATTTATTTGGCATTAAATACATTTTCATTTCCTTTTTCAAATTAAATCTTAGGAAGAAGATACAAGAAACATAGAAAAAACATCCCAGGATGATGAGACTTGAACGTGGCAAGTCGTAATTGTCAATTATGATTAGTGAGCTTATCAGTGTGTTTACTATTTACTTGTGTTTTTATTATTATCCATATGAACTCAGGAGTTACTAAGAATATATTAATTTAGAACTACTTACAAAGCAAATGGGAATAAAAATAAAGAAAATATTTATATTTCAGAAATTATAAAAAGTGTATTTCAAGAAACACGTTTTTAATCTCAGTTGGATAAAATCATTTAGATTTGGTGACCAGAAAAGGCTATGCCATTTGTTGCCTCTCTGGTTTTAGGCATGTGGTGTTAACCCACAGCGAATACTTCCATGGGTTACTCATCTCAAAATTCAGAGCACATTTGGTATCAGATTTTCTTGTGTATTTCCCAGTGACCATGTTCCAACTCTTAAAACCATTTTAAAGTAGCATTAGACAACTACTCAGATACCTTTAACATTTACTAAAACTCTCAAGCACTGGTTCGCATGTATTCCCCGAGCTAGTTTACAGAGAATATTAGGTGGAATTATGTTGACCAAAGAAGAAGTGAGTTATTCACCTTGTTCAGAAATAATAAAGTTAACTCTTGTGAGACTAGAATTAGGAATACGTGTCACATGTCATCCTTCCTAAAGCACTAAGACTCATTAAATTCTGAGGCATATAGAATCTAATTTGTCTTCTTTGAAAGGTCACTATTCTAGTTGCTCCAATTTGCTCAGTTTGTATATTACATGTAGCATAACACTGTTTTCCTTTTATGAATTTCTCAGTCCTTAGGGGATAGTGTCTGAAAGCCCTCTACACTCATCTGGAGGATTTGGAATTGTGGTATGCAAAGTTTATGATTAATTCTATACGCAAAACAATGTTTACTTCCTACCATCCACAAACACCCTCAAAGCTTCTTAAAATTAGAAATGTGGGTATGATTTACCCTTGATATCTCTCCATCTGTGAAGAATTTAAATAATTCCTCTGTCGATGATTACAAATGTCATCACCACTCTCTTTATTCTTTATTTGGAAAACTGAAGGTTACTCAGTGATTAATGTATGGAATCACCAAAAAATGCAAATCAGTCTGTGACATTTCATGGCAATTTATAAAAATCTTTTACTTTTCTATCCTAAATATATAGTGGATTTTGCTACAGAGATAAATTCATACTCTAGCAGGAAATAATTTTATCACTATAAAAATAACAAGTCAAAAAATTGATAGCAACGTAGGCATGGTGCTTTACAGTTTGCCAAATATTTTCAAATTCATTCGCCGAATCTTTGCAACAATTGTATGGGATATTTTACATCTTAACACTGTTTTATAGATTCGGAAACAGAGGCTCAATGATCTGATTTAAATGGTACCACCCTTAAGTCTCCAGCCTGAGTCTTCTACCCCTGAAAACCTTTTTTCACCACATACCAGTGTAATTACACAATAAACTGTATCAAGAAACTATACCAATGGGGCAAACAGTTGTCTGTACTTAGTTCTTTTCACATCTTTTTATCAGACTAAAGCAGAATGAAAACAAAGTCCCAGCCCCCAAATCTGGCATGTTTTCAAAAACTTGTCTGGCCATCTCACCATATCAATAACTTTAAGCATTTTACTTGTAATTCTCACCCACAGTCCTGCCAGTAATTCTCAGTGCTCCAATAAAAAGGAGAAGAATACTTTAATACATAAATATACAATTTCTTATATATGGTTAGAAGGTCATAGTGCCTTTAATCTTTAAATAAACAAAAAACAAAACTTCACTATGACAATATTTGATAGATAGACTAAAAATTTGATTGAAAATTATTTGTATTGCTTTTGTTATTCTGAATTTACAAAGTCACTATGTTAGATAGTGACTTTATAGGTGAAGAAAGCATAAAAGATACAAAGGACCTGGCGTATGATTACTTTGCTATGAAGAAAAAAAATATGAAAATATCTCTTCTTGGTAAAGTATTTGCTAGTAAGAGTGAATAAAGACCCTGAATGCTCCCATAGTCCAATGCTATGGGACATTAGAGGAAGTTAATTAACAATTATACCTTTCTACACCGATACTGTTATTGTTTTTTCTCTTTACATTTCATGCTTTGCCATCGTGCATGGTTTTTAAAGGTAAACACATACTTCATGTTAATTTTAATATAAAATGCCTAGAGTCCTACAGGAAACAGAATTATTTTGCTTTACATATTCAAATAAAAAAGTTAATTGTGTTATGTTAAAATGTGGATTACAAATCAACTTCTTTGGAAAATCCTGGGAACTCTAAGAATCTCCACTTAATCCATTAAAGATTTTCATTTCTGAGCCATGCTACATACCACATTACATGCTTTCTTCCCCGAACCTCGTACTTCTGATTGCTGGTTTCTCACCGTGTTCAGTATGCTGATGCAAGATCACACTACTTATATTTACATTCAGAATCATGTAAATTTCATTCTTCTTGGCAAAAACTGATCAATTCAACTGAAGAAAAAATTGCTCTAGTAGCATTTTGGCCATTGAACACTGCAGGATTTGCAAGTTTGCAAGCAGCTGAGGTTGCTTTGCTGAGTTTTAACCAACACAGTATTCCACGAATGAAATTTCTACAGTCACCACTAACAAAGATTAAGAGGATACATTTCATCTTCAAATAGTCAACAAGGATGACTTTTTTTTTTTTTTTTAAACTCACAACCTGCAAATAATGGGTCTGGCTTATTGTTTTCATAATTGGCTAACTACTTACTGTGATGGAGCTGATGGTGATATTGACAGAATGTTTTGGTATGTGTTCTATGCATGTGTGGTTGGGATAGCGGTCCACCAGACAAAAAGGATCAAACAGTCTTCCATGCAATCATAAAAGAGTCCTGAGTGATAGTTAAGGGACAAGCTAATTAAGTGGGTGACCTATAGTTTCTTCAAGAGAATGAGGAATATAATTTTTTTCTCATTCACATATTTCTCCAAGGTTCTTAAATTTTGAGTTTATTTTATTGCTTATTTTATTAGAATATAATTGTTGATGGCAATTTACTTTTTCTTTATTTAGGATCACTTAGGTAATTATTTTATCATCGTTGTTTTGACTTGGAAACCCCATGGCCCTGCCTTTATGGCATTGGTTCTATTTCTAGTCTCATAGCCAAATAGCATATTACTTTTTCTGGGAGACTATTAACAGAAATTGAATTCTTGTCTTAACACTCACTTTAGATACAAAAATAATATATACATACATATGTGTATGTACATATACATATATATAAGCATATATGTATTTGTCTATGTGTGTGTGCATGCATGTGTGTGAAAAACATAAAAGGTTTAGTTAAAAAATACAATAGACTAGAATTCATTTATTATTTACCCCATCAAATAATTACAGATAAAATGGCTTAATAAAAGTACTAAAATACAATAATAAAATATATTGGCTGTATAAGTGTGTATGTATATATATGTGTATCTATATATATAAAGCAAACTAGCCTTCCCTGAAATAATTCTATTGATGTTAAAACAGAACAAGTTTTGGAAGCGCCTCCCAGGGGAAATCTGAGAGTTAAATTTAAGGAGAACTGGGTAATTTACTTGTGGACAAATATAACAAGTAGAACAATAAATTAAGTAATAAAATAAAT